AAATAAATAAATGCTGTTTTTGAGTTGGCAGAGAATTTGGCTAATTATATTTTGTTCCATTTCCAGTCTGTGTGTAGTTTGCTTCCTACTGACGTTGTCATAAAATGCTATTCAATTTAGCTTGAATCCTTTAAAGAAGCTATATTGCTTTTAGAGGTTGATTCAAAACTCTACAGGGGAGGTAGAAGGAAAGTGACTTTTGAAATTTGACTTCTGTGTTTTTTGCAACATTAGCGTTTCAGTGCTTAGTTGTTTCCTAAGAACCCGAATTTGGATTTGCAGTAAGGCAGATCGATAATACTTTATTCCTAGAAAGAGAACGTGGCTACAGAAATCTTGGATTTAAAAGCAGATTTTCAAAAAGTTTGATTGTCACTGCCTTCTCTATTCAGATTTTCCCATAGATGCATTTCAGCTTTCCATTTTCTGCTTGTTTTTTAGGTTGTGGAAAGAAACTAATTTTTTGGTAGTTTGGTTGAAATGGACTGAATCTGAGGCAAAGGCCTTTTTCATAAGTACTACTAAGTTCATAACTGCTGTTAAGAGGATAGCACTAGTGCCCAGGGTGATGAGGGGAAGCAATTTATATATATATAGTTTTAATGCTCAGTTTTTTTCCTTGGCAAAGATTTTCAAGGGAAGGACTCCTTGGAGTGTACTAGGCCAGTTCTGTGTGAATTGTTCTCCCAAATTAGGAGACTAAATGGGGGAGGAAATAAGCTGGCTGTGTTCCCAGTTATAATCTGACTGTGTGATTCATTTGGTCTGTTAAATCCATTATATTTTCTTGCAGTTTGGATTAAAATAAAAAGGAGATTGCTGAACTCTGGCCTTCATCCTAAATTCAGATTTGGAACTCTGAATTCCAAGAATTTGACTGTGGCTATATTTTTAATACAAGGCCTCCTTTGCAGCTTTTTAATTGAGCTTTAGTGCATAAAACATTTGCACGATTGAAGCTCTGTTGCAAAATAATTCAGCTTCCACTGAATAAGGCTATTGAGTCATTTCACTTTTTATTGTCTATTCTACACACAATTGTCAATGGTCGCACAGCCTTTTCTCCCCTTATTTGAAGATGAAAGGGATTGAGGCAGGGGTTTTCCACATGTGATTTACGGCCTAGGATTCACAGTTCAATCCGAATTCAGTGGGATTTGCTTCTAGGTAAATTTAAAATCAAGTCCTTAAAAAAAACAACCCCATTTCTCTATTAAAAACCTTATTCTCCAGGTTTCAGGCAGAAATGCAGCAAAGTTGGATTCAGCATAATATTGAAGGGATGGGAAAGGGGGCAGGAAACAATGCAAGAACTCCATAAGGATAAACTGACAAACCCTCCCTCCTTTTGAAATATTTTCAGAGAGAGCCTAGAGCCGTAACTTGCAATATGAAACCTTTTAAATGAAAGCTCTGATTTCCCTAGCTAAACGCTAAACTCTCTTGCACAAGCAAATCCATGAGATGCACAGAACCCCAAATATTTTTACAGCCCTTATTTTACTCAACGGATACTTCTGGATTCCTCATGAACCTTATTAAATTGAAATGTAACCCACTGTTTAGTTTGGGCCAAAGTTGTTTCCTCAGCAAAGCATTACCTAATGATCACATAAGAAACTTCTCCCTCCGCTCTGTTGAAAACATTTGCATGTAGGGGGTGGGAGCGTGCATTTAAAATGAAAGATTCATGCTCTTTTCTCTGTGGGTGGTCGGAAAACAACTTCAAACTGTAGCTAAGATGCAAGTTTGCTTCAGCACGGTCTTCAAAGGCTTCCAGGCTTCCCTACATTATGATGCAGTCCGGAAGTGGTGTGGGAGGCATTTCTGAAGCCATTTTTTTAAAAAAAGTAGGAAACATACACAGCTCTCATTCTTATTTCCTTCAACTGCAAGTTAATACATTCATAGCTTTTCCCCTCTTTCTTTGCCCAGGGATTTCTCAGTGTTTCCTTTAGTTGCCCTGTTTAGAAATATCTGCTGCATGAATTGAATTGGCAATTTGAAAGGATAAATGCTGTATTTCATGATTTAAGTGGTTACTAATATTCTAAGGTTGAGTAAGAATAAGAAGATGGACCTTGAGTTGCACCAGTCTGGGATTGTTCCAGGCCTTAATGTTGAGTGGATGTCTGCATCTTGCCCTTTGATACCGGAAAGAAAGATTTCTAATTACCGGTATATGATTTAGGAAGACTCACTCTCTCAGTCTTTGTCTCTGTCTCCTTCCCTCCCTCCCTCCCCCTCTCCTCCTTCCCCTCTCCATGTTTTTTTCTCTCTCTCTCTTTTAGAAAAAGAGATGGGTTTTGTCTGTCATGTATTATAACTTTAGTGCTGCTGCCTGTGATATGAGCAGTACTGATGGTAGAATTTTTGGATCTATTTATTACTTTTTGTCATCCAACCATTTCTCCTATAATGCTTGTCATGCGCGATGCCTCTTCTACATTTGAAACAACCACCTTATGAAGTAAATCAAGATGATAGTGTTGTCTATGTTAGATGCTCTTTCTCTCTTTCTCTTTGTGTATAGTGTAGTATAGTGTAGTGGTTAGGGCAGCACCTTTGATGTGGGATACTGGGCTTCAAATCCTGGCTGGCACCTACCTTACCAGCGGAGGTCCATGGGCAAAGACTCCCTAAAACTTCACCTGTCTACCTCAAAATATAAGAGTGACCTAGGCTAGGAGAGTCATGCCGGCTTGGACAGCTGGGTTAACAATGTTCTGTCAAATGAAAGGATAGTGTTCCTTTGAATCTCTCCTGCTCATTTTAATGTAACTTGTGCAGAAAAAACTTCACAACAGTTCCATCCTTTTGCTTTCCGTATTTTAATCCAGGGGTAGGCAATTTGATGACACCAGGATGAATGGAGGCACATTGTTAGGCACTGTTTTGGCTCCATTCTCTTTACATTTAGGGTTGGATATCTGCCAGTTATATTAGATTTTGCAGTCTTCTGTTTGCTGTTCTGCTATTTCCCTTTCTAACAGAAGGTCTGTTAAGACACATTCATTTTACTCCATCCTACATGAAAACATACAGCGTTGGCTAATTGGGATGCTATTCAGTTAAGTACATGAGAAAAATGAATGGAATTTTGTAAAATGAATGGAATTTTCTTGGCAATACCTTATCCATCTTATGAACAATTTGGACTGCTCTAATCTAAGTAGAGATGGTGTTGTGTATTCTGTGAGCTTCCCATGACCTCTTTCTCAATCACTCTCAGCAGCAGTGTATCTTCAACATTTCAGATACTTTTTTTTGAATGTATAGTTGTTAGTTTGTTGTAGAGGATCTAAACATTATCCTTCAAATAATATTTCTGTATTGAGGGAATTATATATTTTATGCCATGGAAGATGTCAGTATAACGCAGCTATTGTTGGTAGAGCTGTGTAGTTGCTTTTTTACAGTATTGCAGAAGGGCAATATTAGCATTTAATGAAATATGGATTATTCTGCTGACCTCTCTCACACTACTTTGCCTCCTACAGAATACAAGCTTGGCTGATTTTGTGTGTGTTGCTGAACCAGCTTGAGCATATATAGTCAGTCCACTATGCTAAAAAAAGGGGGAGAAATATATAGAAATATGAATTTTAAAACAATGAAATATCCAGGTATTTTTATTTAAAAACCAGGACAAAAAATCATGATACATCATTAAATAGAACATTGCCTGTGCATCGTTATTATCAGAACTGGGATTTCTCATGAAACTGGAAGTATTCCTCTTTTTTCTGTTTCTGAATAAAAGAATGATAGTAAGTGTCCTTTTGGACATGGTCTATAATCTATTTTTGTCTTGGCAAAGGTACATAGATTAGGTACATTGGCTTAGAGCAGAAACAAAAGAACATTAACAGAAAATAAATAATAATAATTTGGGATATGTGACTACTTATAAAGACAAATAAGTCAAGTTGTTTATGGGAAGTAGTTTGAACAGTACCTCATCAGATAATAGAAAAACATGTTCATTTGCAGCACATGGTACCCTTGGTGGTTAAGTGTGTTGTTTTCCAAATTGCACGTGCAATACCTTTGTCATTTCAAATGAGGATAAGAAGAACAATCATCTCCCTTGAACATGAATACAAAGTGTATAAAAAATACCCACATTCAATCTACAAATTTTGAACTATTTAGCCACACAACTGAAAGATTTGATTTAATTTTTTATATTTCCTCCTACTTTCCAATTTTTTTTTGTAACTTTGTGTCTTCATAAATCTAATACTTTTGTTATCCTATGCCTAGGAACAACAAAGGTTAGGGTGCTGGTAAAAGTTATTTGTTTAAGATAGTGATAATTCTCCTATGGATGGCAGTGTTATGTCAGCTGCGCAGGAATATCATCTCATCCTATGGATGGATGGATGGATGGATGGATGGATGGATGGATGAATGGATGGATGGATGGATACATACATACATACATACATACATACATACATACATTCTCTCTCTCTCTCTCTCTCTCTCTCTGTGTGTGTGTGTGTGTGTGTGTGTATGTGTAAGAATAAATATTTGTGGTCAGATCTTTGAAATCAGGTTTTCTTCTGAATGATTTTGTTGATAATTAAAAAAGGTCTGAGTTTTTGAAATAAACACATTTAAGCCAGAAATGAAAATCAAATGCATAGCTCCTGGATTTCAGAGCCTTGATAGTATAGTGGTTAGAATACAATACTGCAGGCTAACTCTGCCCACCATCTGGAGTTTGATCCTGACTGTCTCACGGTTGATTCAGCCTTCCATTCTTCCAAGGTCAGTGACATGAGAATCCACATTGTTGGGGAAATATGCTGACAGAGAGAGTGCTGTAAAGCTTTGTGGAGTGGTATATAAGTCTATTGCTATTAGTATAGTAGAGAAACAGTTCAGTAACACTTTTCCATTTGCCACATGTTTGCTGCAGTGATTTAGAATAAGAAATGTTAATTTTTTAGTAATACAATTTACCTCTTCTCTCTCCCTCTCTCTTTAAACAGGCTTGGTCCTCTAGCTGATGGAATAAACTTAAGGAAAGATGAATATCTTGCAGGTAATAAAATACATACATGCTTGGATAGTATGTGTACTTTTATTTATCAGAATCATGCCAGTAGTTTGAGGACTCATTCACAATTTCAAGGATAGAACAAAGACAATTATTACACAAAAATCAGTTCCACGTAGAAATTTTCTATTCTGTAAATTGCCTTGCTTATTTTTCATAGAAATACAAGAAATCACCTGAGATCTATTAATAGAAATTGAACATTATGTATTTCACATCGGTAGCAATTTTGTATGTACTCGGTGATATCTAATGCACTCAAACAAGGGAACTCTACCCTTTCCAAGGTATTTGGCTGTAGGAGCTGTGGTGTCAGTTGGGCACTGGGGAGGCCCATGTTTAAGCATAAACTTAGCCATTGGGTGATGTCGGGACAGTTTTTCTCTTTTATCCGGTCCACATAACAAGGTTATTATTGTGAGTAGAATTGGCAAAAGGGAGAATTATATTTCCTATTCTGAGCTTCTGAAGAAAAACAGAGATATAAATTTTATAAATAAACTTGTCAAATAAATTGAGGGCACATTTTTAATCAGTAGAATTTGTCATTCATTAGCTATCCTATTCCTCAACAGTTGAAGGTTCCTAAATAAAAAAATGAGGATTCATTCAACTTTCAAACATGTATTACATTTCTAAAAATGTATGCTTGGCAGTATATAAGGGAATGCCACATGTAATATAAATAATACATGACAAAACATTTATTTTAAAAAAATATTTTAGTCTATATAGACTAAACATACAAATACATATACATTTAGTGTATTCATTAGGGGCTGGATTCTTAGAACAATACATTTATATTCAATTTAATTTACTTGACAGAGATGGTATATCTCTCTTTTGGTACACATAGTTATTATCCTAGGCACCACTGATCTAATAACGAGAATTTTTTTTTCTGAATGGGGTTATTAAATTAATATAAAGGAGGCATTCACACTTGAAAATAGCAAGACAATCTTTTTTGGGGAGTATCTGGGCAGAATGTGAATTTTACCTTAGTTCAATAATATGATCAGATAGTTAATTTTTGTTCTGTTTTGTTTGAACAAAGCACAACAAAACACAGCACAGCAGTGATATATTCTTGATGACTAGATATGGGCTCTTAGTGCTTCAGAATCTATTCTAGCACAATCCTTTTAGGAAATATTTAATGTTATTTATAAATAATAATTCTGTAGTGGCCTTTAAGAAATGGTTTTCGAAAATACTTAAGATATTCTAAATTTTTAGATATACAAAAGTACAGAGAAGCATATGGTATGGAGACCAAGTATTTCAGGTATTAATTTTGTTCTGGAATTTGCATTGCATAGATGCTTGCGTTTTTTTTAACAAACTAATAAGACACTACATGCTATTGCCTGCTTAATGTTCCACAATCCACATTTTATTATTGCCAAGGAAACTTGTATGTATGTATGTATGTATGTATGTATGTATGTATGAATGTATGTAAGTACGTACGTACAGTATGTAAGTATATATGCATGTATAAGATCGTTTATGGTCACTTTCTAATTGAGGAATATTTGAGAGATGTTATGTGGTCAATTTTTCACTTCTCATGCACATACATATATACACCATTTAATGCAATCTGCACTATATTATTTGACAGTGCCTGCTTTTAAAGTATTAATAATGTTGTTAATTCCATTCCATTTTAATCTATATTTTCTTATTTTAAATATGATAGCAAAAAAAAAAAAAAAGACCAAGCTCTGTAGTTTAGTTTGCTCTGAGATTAGATTGCAGTTTTAGCTAAGGAAAGCATTAGCACATTCACACTTTGCAAACAACTAATGGTTATAGCAGGAATATTTGTTGAAGATGGTTATCATCAATCTTGCTCGAACTTCTTTCATATTGCAAGATCTTATCAGGTGATGAAAGAGATGGTCTATGTTACAAAGGCCTTAAACTTGATTTGCCAAAAGCTGATTCAGCTGGTGGCAGAAGACAGTGATTCAATGTTATGTTGATCCCGCTTTGTTGGCAGAGAACATCTGGTTGCAAAGTTCATACAGCTGGATAAATGTTGCACCCTGTAGGTTTTTTTCCACTTGGATTGAAGTGGAAGCATTGGGCATATAATCGAACTGAACATAAGGCCAAGATGGTGTTCTGCCATAGTATTTCCATTTTCTCTGCATCTGTCTCCATTTTCTCTTCTACTTTGCATTCATCCTGAAGTGGAGAATACTGACAAATTAGGTGCATTCAGCAAATTAAAACAAAAAAGCCAAATTGTGACCCATAATAAGCAAATGGAATATATATGTGCTGGAAAGCATTTAATTGGAAGAAAACTATATAGGAAGAGCAAATAATATTGGAACTCTTATGAATTCATTGTATATTTATATTTATAAATGTTGTTTTAGTTAATATTTTGTGAATTGTTTTTTTAAGATTGCAGGCATCCAATATATGAGCTCTTTATGTTGTTGGCCTGTGTTGTATTTTATTCCCATACTTTTCTAACCTTTCCATGCCCGTCTTTATAAAACTTTTGTTGCTGTTGTTTCTACTGCTTCCTGTATGGGTAAAGATTTGTATAAAGAGACCTGATGTGTGCTCCACATCTTTAATGGTTATTACGAATATAGTCGGCAATAATTGGAGGAATAGGTCCAGATGTGCTGGTTTTGATTGTGTGATTACAATTGTCACCTTGATTTTTTTTTTACATCCTCTGCCCCCATGGGTGCCCTTGAACAGGGGGTCTGTTGATGGAAATGCATGTTCTGCATTCCTCCTACATTATAAGCTGCTGAATTGATCTGGATTGAAGATTACAGATAATCAGAGTTGGAAGGGACCTTGTAGGTCATCTAATCCAACCCTCTGCCCAAGCTGGAGACCCATTCTGACAAATGGCAGTCCAATCTCTTCTTGAAAGTCTCGTGTGATGGTGCTCCCACAACTTCCGAGGACAAGCTGTTCCATTGGTTGATTGTTCTCACTGTTGGAAAGTTTCTCCTTATTTCCAGGTTAAATCTCTCCTTGTTCAGATTCCATCCATTATTCCTTGTCTGGCCTACAGGTGCTTTAGAAAATAGCTTGACCCCTTCCTCTCTGTGGCACCCCCTGAAACATTGGAAGACTGCTATCATGTCTCCCCTGGTCCTTCTCTTCACTAAACTAGCCAAGCCCAGTTCCTGTAACCGTTCTTCATATGTTTTAGTCTCCAATCCCCTAATCATCCTGGTTGCTCTTTTCTGCACAAGAAACATACTAAGAGAAAGGAAGGATTCCAAAATTAATCAGGTATCTTAGTATTCTTTGGAAATGAAAACATACGGGAATTTCTGTTCTGGATTATCATTATTATAATATTGTCCTTCCACTATCAAGTAACAACATAGTTTAATTCTGCAGAAAATCAACATCAAATGGAACCTAACTAAAATTTCACACTTGACATGGGTGGCGATTCACACCTAACTTATAAGGAACAAAAAAAGCTAGAAGTGGTAAACCTAAATTATGTTATAATTGAACATACTGGATATGCAAATCATTTAAAATGAGAAAACATTAATCTAGCACTGAGCTCAGATAGTGAATACTTTGAAGGGAATACTTTGATTGTAACATACACATTTATTATCTTTATAAACCTATTTTTCTTCTACCATTGAACCTAGAATATATAAACATGGTTCTCAGATAGTTTTATATACAAGCAATTAATCCAATTATAGATAAAACCTGGGACATGGGAAGAAGAGATCATTTGTTATATTTTAAGAGGCTATAAGTTACTGAAATTGTTTATACTTGTGATGAAAGGCAAAATCATTTCTTTATATATTTCTTTTTTCTTTACTATTTTTTTTCTTCTGTTTTTTCTTCTGTACATTTTCTATTGTTTTTAAATTTATATTAGTTTTCATCTTTATAATTGTAATGTTTAATAAAATTATTATTTAAATGCATATATCACCACAGTTATATTTATGTATTGGTTTGTGCTGTATGGAGATACTTATTTGAATTTAATAACATTACACATAACTTTAAAAAGGAGCATGGAATGAAGTCCTGTTCTTCCACATTTGCTTAATAAAGTTGTGCTTCTTGTTTTTTTATATTGTGTTAAAAGAATTCATTAATAAATATAGAAAAATTGTATGTAGGAAGGGACATAAAAAATTGTCATATATTACTTTTAGGTTTTGTCAGCTGTCAGACATTACTGTTTCGTATGAGTGTTTTTTTCTTGGTACTGCTTGATTCTTTGGTAGAGCACAGAGTCAGCCAACAGATTCATGGAGGTCTCAGAGTGAAGACAGCTGAGGCAAATCAAACCAGTTGGGATTCGGGTTCTTAGAGCAGGCCTCCTTGTTGCTTCCCTTTCCAAAAACATTAAAATAGTTTGTTAATCAATAATAATAATAATATAAATAACAACAACAACAACAGCAGTAGCAACAACAACCCTATATGGTGGTTTTTCAACCGAATTTACATAAACAAAGAGTTGCCGGGAGCACGGCAACATGGACGAATATTTCAGAAGGGGAAGTAATATCAATGTCCATAATTATTTCATCTGGTTTTCAATAACCTTATCAGATTTATACTGTATATCTATGTATTTATTCTGGACTCAGCTCAGGAAAATATACAGGAAAAGAATGATATTGAACTTTTCTTAGCGAGCGATTGGTTAGATGCCCAGTGTGCTGTTTTCCCTTTTAAAAATAATAACTGTTTGGCAGAAAGCACTTCAGACTGGAAGAAAGGCATAAAGCAGATTAAAACAAACAAACAGAAACTTCTTTCTATCATGATCCTGCTGAAAATTCACTCTTAACTTCTAATCACCTGAAAAGTCCTGTAAGAGTTGTAATTAATTCAATACATATTTGTAAATATATATTTCCTTTGGCTCATTGCTTAGTTTCCATGTTAGAAACAACTACCTTCCTTTCCATTTTTTTTTTTTTACTATTTCATCTACTCTTCCCACTTGGGTGTTTTTCTGGTGAATATTATGTCCTAAAAACCTTCTGTTTTCTGGGCGGGAAAGGATGAACTAAAAAAGAAATCTGTATGTTGACACATCCAGGACCTCTTAGTTCAACCCTAGTTGCATTTGTGACCTCGCTGTTAATAGCAGGAATAATTAATATACTCTTACAACTCATTTGCAAATGTTGACAGGAGTATGTGTGTGTTTGGGGTCGCTTTCCTCTAACTATTCAAAATAAAGGGAAATTAGAACCTTAAATTTGATCTCTCCACCATCGGTACAGATTTTTATACAAATGAAATAGTTACATGCTGGGAGGAAGATAATTTAACTTAGAAAAGATTTGAATAGTATTATGGCAAGATCAGGAAAAAAAATGGAAATTTGCTATTATCTGTTACTCTCTTGAAAACACTGACATGAACGGTTGTGATCTCATGGCATGCACTACTAGTGCAGTTAAGTAGTTAGTGTGTCTGATACTTGGAGGAATGAGTTGTTCTGAAAAACAGTTTTCCATATTGAGAGCCTGGCTAACATTTTGTTTTTCAAACAGTGTAAACTGTATACATGTCTCTATATTTATATTGTGGTAGCATGCTTAGGGAATTCCACCCCCCTCCAAATTGACTACTACTGTTGCACCTTGAAAAGGACTGAACCAGTGGGATTCAGAAACTTTTACCACTGGTTCGGTGGGTGTCACTTGGTGGGTGCACTTTGCACGCGTGCACACACTTTGTGTGCACATGCTCCAAATGCACACTTTGCGCAGGCACAGAGGCGTTCCAACTCACCTCCTGCAAGCCTGCACTCTCCCGGTCACTTCAGCAGCGGCTGTGCAATACTCTTTTGTGCCGTGCAAAGCAGCTGCGCTTCAAAAGCAGAAGATAAAGGTGAGTATGGAAGCGTAGGCGGGCGGGTGGGCCAAACAACAGAGCATTGGAAAGAATCAGTTCGGTGTCCACTGCTCATCGCCGCTACCGGCTCAGCAAAACCAGGCCAAAGTGGTAGTATACCACCACTGGACTGAACACAGTGTTTGTTATCTCCATCAGCAACTGATCCTGTATCCATTATAAAGAGTGTAAAATAAGTGGATGTAATATCAACGACTGAGAAATTTTATCCAATTAAAGGATATTATTTCTATCCCGGGAACAGGACCACCCCATGGATAATCAAAATTTTATTCAGTCAAAGCAGTATTGGTGGCATTGCTGTATCTCTTTTCTTTTCCTGGGTTCAGACAGGCAGTTTGCACCTATTTGTACCAGTTTGCACCTATTTG